TATATATAAAATTAAGTGACCCACAGGCGTTCATAGAGAAAGGTGGAGGAAGGGAAAGAGAAAACACAATTTTGATTGGGACTATTCCTAAAGACCTAGAAGCATAGTTCTTAAAGAGGATGATGAGTGACTTGTTCTTGATGTCTCCCACTGGGGGAGACTGGCAGAAGTAGAGCTATGAGGGTAGACTGAAGAAGATCCTGGAGATATATGATTTTGCACTAGAAAAAATAATATGCATTAATAAAATAGTTCTCTTTGAGTCATATTTGATTCAAAATACTATAAGTTCTGTTTGTTTTTAAAATCTACCTTGTATTATTTAGAGAGGATGATTATTTAAAAAAAGCAAAATATTTAGAGTATAATGGTCCTTCTTATAGACTCTGCAACTTTTAATGTTTAAGACTTCCCTTGAGAAAACTAACAGCAATTTGAAAAAACGTTTCCTTAGGAATGTTCCAAAAGAGCAAATAATGGGAAATTTACTCTTCGAGATTTGCTTGTGGTTCCTATGCAACGTGTTTTAAAGTATCACCTTCTTCTCCAGGTATGTAACTGAAAACTGCTTATTGCTCATTTATTTGTTCAAAAGATATTTAAAAAGCATCAGCTGTGTTTTGGCTCTCTTTCCTTAAAGTTTTAAATTATTGTATGGCTAAATGGGAAATGTTCAGAATAACTGGACAATTTTTTTTTTTTTTTTTTTTTGGTGGTGCTGGGGGTTTGAACCCAGGGCCTTGTGCATTTGAGGCAAGCACTCTACCAACTGAGCTCTATCCCCAGCCCATATTTGGACATTTTAAAAAATTATTTATTCTTTTTATATATACATGATGGTAGAGTGTATTTTGACATATGCATACATGGAGTATATCTTCCCATTCTTGTGGCTGTACATGATGTGGAGTTACACTGGTTGTACATTCATGTATGAACATAGAAAAGTTATGTTTGATACATTCTACTGGGCATTTAGCTGGGCATTTTTAGTTGGGCATTTTTTCCTCCTTTCAGTAAAGATGATTTGGTATTTGCCACAAAGTTATAGTCTGTGTCCATCAAACAGGACAGGCTAAAAAAAAAATGAGGCAAAACAAAAACAAAGATATGCCCCCTGCCAAGTCTTCTGTAGTTAGCAGTAATCATTTATTAGTGTTTCACTGCTTCTGAATTTGGGGAGATTAATCATATTAGACCCTTTGCATTGTATCAAGTGTAAAAGGTTTGTGTCACATTCTGTATTGTTTTCTACTGTACTAAATTGTAATAAGACTACATTTATTTTGAAGTGATTCTTGTTATAACCCACAAAGCTTATGGTTTCCACGGTTAGTCTTCTAATGAGGGTGGAGAGTCTTATAAATTTAATTTGATAGCTATACCAGGAGACTCATTAGTTCTGCTCCAAAGAAATGTCTTACTGTATTAGTCTGTCAACTCTGCTGATGCTTGTGAAATGTCATTTTAAAAAGATCTACTACCTGTATGTGAAATATAATTTTGAGTCTGCTGTGCTTTGTACATCTTGTATATTAAATTTCTTGAACTGTAGCCACAAAATTATTAGTCATCTCTATTTTTGTTCTACTGAGAAATCAGAAAAATTCAAACCTTGATTATTCCTTAAAAATGCATTAAAACATTTATGAGACCTAAACTCAAAGCAACTTAATCAAATTGGATTTTATGAAAAAATAATAAGGAAGACTCAGGCAATCAGTTTCCAAAGCATCATGGAACTAAAAACTTGTCTAGAATAAGATAATTTATTTTGTAACTTTGGTGTAGTCAAATATTGATTGAAGAATTTAGAAGGTTCAATTTTAAAGCATTATCTATTTTGGTCCTTATATGGTTTTACACAGACTTATAGAACTATGAAATTATACTTTTTTGAAATCCAGTGAACTTTTCTCCTTAGTTTCTAATGGTTTGCTTTGTATTTAAATTTTTAAGTGTATATTTAGTTCCATGATCAACTTTTAAATTATGAAAAGTTTGACCGGGCATGGTGGCACGTGACTGTAATCCCAGTGGCTCAGGAGACTGAAACAGGAGGATCATGAGTTCAAAGCCAGCCTCAGCAACTTAGCAAGGCCATAAGATGCTTAGAAACCCTGTTTCTAAGTAAATGTATAAAAGGGGTTGGGATGTGGTTACCTGCTTGACTGCCCTTGGGTTCAATCCTTTGTATCCCCCCCAAAATAATTATGATAGGTTTTGTTTTATGTAATATATATAGAGATTTTTATTTAATAGAATAAAAATGGAAATAAAGGGATAGAATTTTGACACATTTTTATACTGAGCAGATTCTCTCTATAGAAGCTGAAGCACTACTGGCATTGAATTCATAAAAGATTTTTGTGTGGTTCCCTGTGCCAGACACAGCATCAGGCACTTAACGACATGACAGGTCCTATGCACTGATAAGCTCACCCTTTAGAAGGAAAGCATGAAATGTGATGTGCCCAGGAACACGGTATGATAGACTTACAGATTATTATGCCTGAGAAGGCCAAGGAGCTCGGTAGAGACCAGCTTCCCAGAGGAGTGATTGTTGAGTTGGGCTTTGAAGGAAGAGCAAGAGTTGGACAGGTGGATCAGAGAGGAAGAGCTTTTGAAAGAGAGAAAATAATAATTCTTTGGGGATTAAGTATCAAAACATATTTTGAGAATTACAGTTAATTGAGTATGAATAGAATATGGGTTGTTTGGAAGTGAAGGGAGAGAAGTTGAAGAAGGTGTGCAGGATGGAGACCATGGAGTCTGACTGGGAGGTCTGAGTGACAATCAAAGCACTTGTGGGGCATCATAGAAGGCTAAATAGGGTGGAAGTGTGATCTCCTGGGGTCCTAACTCTGAGGCCAATGGAGGGAATTGATGGTCCTGTGGAAAGACTACAAATCAGAAGATAGGTCAGAGCCCCATTCTACTTACCCATTTGAGAAAGGGCAGGGGAGTGGCAGGGAGGATGGTTTCCAGGGCAGGGTCAAAGCTAACATCAGTAAGACATGGACAGAGGCACAGAAGGAGTCTGGGACACATTCTAGGTTTGGCCTATGTGATTAAATAGATGAAGATGCCATTATTCAATAATAACAAATGCAGGAACAAGAATAGGGTTCTGGGTAAGGGTGGGTTCCATGTGGGGCATGTTGAATTTGAGGTCCCTGTAATCTGTTCAGTTAGAACTGTTTAGATGGATGTGAGTCTGGGACTCAGGCTTGAGTTCTGGGTTGAGAGTATGTATTTGAGAGTGAACCTCAATAGGAGATGTTGACAGTCTGACTGTGATTGTGATAGAATTATAGACTGTGTATGTTATAGTCAGCTTTTTCAAAGCTGTGGCTAAAACACTGAACCAGAACAACTGTAGAGGAGGAAAGTTTATTTGGGGACTTACTATTTCAGAAGTCTAAATCCATAGATAGCCAACTTCATTCCCTAGGGGTTCCAGGAGAGGCTGAACATCATGGAAGAAGAGTGTGGGAGAGGGAAGCAACTTATATGATGATCAGGAAACAGAGAGAGAGAGAGACTTCACTTGCCAGATACAAATATATGCCCCCAAGCCACACCCCCAGTGCTCTACCTCCTCCAGCCACACCCCACCTGCCTTCAGTTACCACTCAATCCCATCAGGTGATGAATTCAGTGATTGGGTTAAGGCTCTCATAACCCAGACATTTCCTCTCTGAACACTCTTGCTTTATCTATGTGTGAACTTTTAGGAGACCCCTCACATCCAAACCATAATAGTATAAAATAAGAATGAGAGGGACCTTGGGTAAAGATACAGGGAGCAATAACTTTCTAAGATACAGTTAACAAAAGAAGTAACTGAGGACTGGGGAATTGGCAGAAATGGAGGATTTATGAAAATAATATCAGCAGTAACAATAAGCAGAACATGCTGATGTCTGTGAAATGAAGGGAGATGTGGTCCTCAAAACCAGCAGCTAGAGAGAATCCATGTATGATAGTGAGTAAAAAAGTGTCAATGAAGTTAGCCATTAGGAACTCTTGCATAATGTTGGGGAAGCAGCATCTGGTGGTGGGGTATAGAATTCAGCTTGGTCTTTGAAAAGAAGACCAAGCATGTTTCCTGCTCTTTTGATGTCTACCCGGTCTTTTTGCAGTTGGAAAATTTTGGGAAAATAAAGCCTCATTACATAAAATGTATCACATTATGGAGAGAATAATGATAATAATGATTTATTTTTTTTTAAATTTTCCTATGTGTTAGTTTTGATTTGATGTATTAAATCATTTCTTCCAAATAGGAACTTGTCAAACATACCACTGATCCCATTGAGAAAGCGAATCTGAAACTGGCTCTTGATGCTATGAAGGTAAAGCAAATGTATCTGTCACTTGTTTATAATTTTTAAACAATAGTATTCAGATGACTAACATGTATATATGATGTGCTAATACATTATAATATGCATTTATTTATCTACCAAAATAGAGAGACTTGCATGGATTTGATGTAGGACAAGAACGTATAACATCAAGAGATGTATTAAAATAACTTTTGAAGTTTGCTAACTTTTATAACTGCCAGAGTGCCTTGATATAATGGTTTTTGTTCCTTGTTCTTTTATGGTTGCTAATAGAAAACTGTTGGCTTGTGTAAACATCAGGTCAACTGTGGGCTTCTGGAACACCATTGTGGCTCATTTTCCTCAGATGACAGGATCAACCAGGTTTACTCTTTTGGATGCCGGTGAACTTTACAAGTGAATTTCAAGTTTGGGCTTTTGTTTTCAATTAAGTCTGAAATTTAAGAAATACAGGTAGATAAAAGCAGATTTTTTTGAACGTATCGGAACTATGTAAAATCCCAGTTTCCACGTTATGCTGAATCAATATCTTTGAAGGAAATAATATCTGCCCCTCATTTAAAACAAGCAAATTTTGTTCTTAAAAACAAAATGAGAATGTGACAGAACTGCTCAGAACTAGGTATAGCTACTCATCTGTGTCTCTGTACTAGTTTCAGTGTCAGCTTTGATGTTTCATTCCTTTTAGTTCCACTATCAGGAAATATCACAATTATTATTACAAAAAAGATTCTACCAAGTTTCCTATTTTTGAAGAAGCCGTATATGCCTACATCGTAAGAAAAGTCAGATTTCTGTTGAGAACAAAGTTAGGAACTGCTTTTTGAGGGTTGGTTCCTACTGTTGCAGATGAATTTAAGAGGGGAGAGAAAAAAGAGAAAGAGCTCACAAAACAGGAAAATCTGGAGCACATGTAATAAAAATAGCTGGTTACAGTATGGGGAGATTAGCTAATGTTTCCTCAAATATAAGAAAAGCCATTTTAAAATAGGTGAAGGCACATGGAGAAACATGGCTAGTGTTTTTTGTTCACTTTGTTTCATTTTGTTGTTGTTGTTGTTGTTGTTCTGTTTAGTTCCTCAGCTCTCCTTTATTTCTTCTTTATTAACTCTTTAAAATTGAGCCAGCCTGCTTGACTGAATGCTCTCAGGAACTAACAAGACATTAACTGGTTGCAGAAAATAGTCTCCCTTAGGTTCACTGTATAACTTTTAGTTACTTTTTTTTTTTCTCCCTGCAAATCCTTCACTGTTGCCCTTGTTCTAACCTGAGTAAACATATAATTCTATCAAGGTCAGGCATTACTGTGCTCGGAATTGACATTCTTCTGACCTAGTTTCTTTTGGGTTGCTCTGCATAGCAGCATATTTTGTTTGTTTGGGTTTTTTAAGGCAGCAGCATCCTGACTCTTCTCTGGGGTGTGGTAAATGACAACTCTTCAGTCTTCCAGCTGTCCTGACATTTCACAATTGCCTTTGAGATGCAGCTTTGATTGATTGGGTCTTCATTTTATTGTCATTGCAGAGTAATGGTGGTTACATTTACCCCTAATGGAATTAATGATGTGTTTTCTTTCAAAGTGGTTTGCATCTCTCCTCTAATCTTAGTGTGCCTTCTTGTCTTCATTCTTTAGGACTTGGCACAATATGTGAATGAAGTGAAAAGAGATAATGAGACCCTTCGTGAAATTAAACAGTTTCAGCTATCTATAGAAAATTTGGTATGTAATTATCCTTCTATCCAGCTTCCCCTCACCCCCCCAGTTTGGGGACTTTTAAGAGCTGCAGTTGAAGACTAAAAGATAGTTTACCTTGAAGTTTCTGCTGTTGGAGTCCTGCTCCCTGCACCCCCCACCCCCTTCCTCTGTTTGGCAGTTCATAGATATCTGGAGGCACCTGCTACTCCTGTTTTACTCCTCCTTATCCAAGGACTTTCTGTTCCAGCAGTCTGAATTCCAAGCACTGAAATCCACTGTTTCCTTTGCTCTTTATGCCCATGCATAGTCACAGCTGAGAGCAGCTCACTTGCTCATTTTACATATATTTTCTGGGTGACCATTGTGTGCCAGACTCTACCTTGCTCAGGGCATGACTATCACCATGAACAAGGGGTATCCTGATTGAGGAAGCAGTCAGAGAGGGTTTAAAAATGTCCCATTGAGGATGGTGTTTTGAGCTGGGTGCTGTAGCAGAGGGAACTAAGGGGAGTTTTTGCTTAATTCTTTGGAGTCATCACCACTTGAACTGGGACCTAAAAGATGATGAGCAGCCACAGGAGGAGGATCTGGGGGGAGATCTACCTAGGCAGAAACCTTAGCAACTCAGATACTCAGAGGTGGGCAAGTGATAAAGGGTAAGGGTGGTTGGAAATCCAAAGTAAATTAAGAGTGGCCCTCTGTGGGGTGACCAGGGGGGCTGGAAACAGCACAGCACAGCTCTAGGCCAAGGATGAGTTGAGATTTCACAGTGACAGCCAGGGAAAGCTGGTGCTAGGTTTCTGTCTGGTAGTGATTTACATTTCAAGAGGACCCTTGGTACTGGTAGCCCTGTCAGCAAGCTCTTAAAAGTGGTTTCAGAGAGGGGGGGGGGGAGGGAGGGAGGGAGGGAGGGAGGGAGGGAGAGAGAGAGAGAGAGAGAGAGAGAGAGAGAGAGAGAGAGAGAGAAGGGAGGCCTGGATTAACCTGGAGGGCAGTGCAAATAGAGAATAGATATAAGATACTTGTTTTAGAAGAGTAATTTTATTGCTTCCTTCTCCAAAACATCTTAAATCTACCTATTTGGGGACACCATTTACCTCCTACCCAATCCCAGGAGCCTTTACATAGTTACTGTTGCAAAATGTGGATTTCTCAGTTCTCCCTCTTTGCCAAACTTGTAAAGATTTTCTGTTGCTTTCAATGTTCAGTCAACATTCCTTAGCAGACATTTAAAGCCCTCAGTTGATCTGGACTTAAACTTATTTTCCTGAACTCAGATAATTGCTCACACATTTCCCATTATAGGTCTTGTGCTGTGTTTAACCATAGAATCTCCAGTTTGCCCTGCATTTGCATGGTTCTGCCTTTGATCATAATCTTCTCAGAGCCTACCATGGCTCTCCCCATCAAATTCCTTGAAAGTCCAATCTAAAAAAAAAAAAAAAAAAAAAATCCCTTTCCCTCTTCTCCCATTATTTGGTTCTCTTTGGAACTCTGCAGCATGTTGTCTGGATAGCTGCATATAAAATATAATAAAATATAATATTAAATTACTATCTTAACCATTTAAGTGCACACTTCTTTGGCATTAAATACATTTATCATGTTGGGCAACCATCACCACCATCCATCTCCAGAACTCTCTTCATCTTGCAAAATTGAAGCACTATACTCATTAACCCCAAACTCCCAGTTCGCCCTCCCCCCAGTCCCCACAACCAGTACTCTAATTTCTGTCTCTCTAAGTTTGACTGCTTTGGGTACCTCAGATAAATGGACTTGTATAATATTTGTCCTTTGATGTTGGCTTATTTTACTCAGCATAATGTTTAGGGTCCATCCATATTGTAGCATGTGTCAAAATTTTCTTCTTAAAAAAAACTTTGTTCCTTTAAGGCTGATGATATAGGATGTGTATACCCCATGTTTTATTTATCTATGAGTCTCATTGATGAAAATTTGGGTTGCTTCCACCTTTCATCTATCATGAATAATACTGCTGTACATGGGTGTGCCAGGATCTATTCCAATGTCTACTGTCACTTCTTTTGTTTGCGTACCCAGAATTAGAGTTTCTCTATTGTATGGTAATTTTGTACTTAATTTTCATTCCATTTTTCACAGACTCTACACCATTTTACATTCCTACTAGCAATGCACAAGTGTTTGAGTTTCTCCTCACCCTTGCCAGCATTTGTTAATTTTGTATTTGGGTTTTTGTTTTTGGGGGGGTGGTTAAAAAACCACACACACACACACACACACACACACACACACACACACACACACACCTCTACACACGTCTACGCACATGTAGGATATGTGTATAAATGATAGACATCCCGTTGAGTGTGCAGTGATAGTTTATTGTAGTTCCACTTTGCATTTTCCAAATGATAAATGATGCAGAACATTTTTTTTCATGTTTTTTTTTGTCATTTGTCTATCTTCTTTGGAAGCGGGTCCATTCAAATGCTTGCACCATTAGATTGCTTGGTTTTGTCATTGAGTTTGTAGGTGTTCTTTGTGTATACCCACACATCAATCTCTTATCTGAAAAACAATTTGCAAATACTTTCTTCTGTGGGTTGACTTTTCATTTTGTTTATAGTGTCCTTAATGCAAAAAAGTTTTAAATTTTGATGAAATCCAATTTATCAGTCTTTTGTTGTTTGCATTTGGTATCATATCCAAAAAATCACTGCCAAATCTACTGTTATAAAGCTTTTCCTCAATTTTTGAAGACTTTTATAGTTTTATACCTTACTTTGGGTCTTTGATTCATTTTGAGTTCATCTTTATATATCATTTAAAGTATGGTTTCAACTTTATTATTTTGTATGTGCATATTGATATCCAGTTTTCCCACTACCATTTGTCCTTTTACCAATGAATATTTTTGGTGCCCTTGTCAAAAATAATTTTTACTACTAAAAGTTTATTTCTGAGCTCTCTACTATTCGTTTGGTCCATGTGTCTGTCTTTTTGTTAGTGCCACGTTGTTTTGATTATTGTAGCTTTGGAAAAAGTTTTATAATCAGAAGTGTGAAATATCTAGCCTTATTCTTTTTCAGGGTCACTTAAGATTCCATATGGATTTTAGAATGGAATTTTCAATTTCTGCAAAAAACATCATTGAGATTTTGATATGGAATATTTAATTTTCTACTGTTCTTGTAACTGTTAATCACACACTTATGCTCTTTATTACAATGGAATCTCCAGGTGTTAGTGATAGTATTCAGCCAATTATTTTTTCAGTTGTCAAGTACAGTAAGTACTCATAATTACTTTTTAAAAGAATAATTTAATCGCCTGCCTCTGGAGAAATAGCTCATTATTTTTAATCATTAAGTCAAAACTTTTCATCTTTGAGATCTTAGCTCAAGAAAGTCAGTCCTGACTCTCTTGACCAAGTTAGATCCCCTCCTTGTACTCTTCCTTCAGGGAAGTGGTGCGTTTGTCCTATTTGCATCTGTGAATATTGTGCCCCCACTGGGGAGTATGGTCCATGAGGGCAGAGTCTAGATCATGCTGCCCTATGATTGTTATAGTGGTTGGCACACAGTAGATACTTAGCAAGCATTAGTTGCTAGAATTTTCTTGTGATTTATATTCTTATAGTCATTTCTCTTTTGATATCTAACTTTTAAGATTACTTTAAGATTGTTCCTTTTTAAGTAAAATTAATTAACATATTCCCCCATTATAAAGGACAGACTGTTTTTAATAGTGTGTCATGTAGTCTTGAGCTTTTTAAGTATGCTAAAATATGTAAATTGATAACATTTGTAACATAATAAGATATTTTTCTTGGGGAAATGTCTTTGCTAATGTTTGTTTCTTTTTTCGTGTGATTATGAAGAATTCAGACATATACATTTGATATTCTAGAACCAGCCAGTTTTGCTCTTTGGAAGACCTCAGGGAGATGGTGAAATTCGAATAACCACTCTGGACAAGCATACAAAGCAAGAAAGGTGAGAAGAGCAATGCTTATTCTCAAAGTCAGTAATTAGTATCAGAAGATGGAGAAAACCTTAAAACAAATTTTCGAGGATGAAGGAGAAGAAGAATAGAAGAAAAAGGGACAGATCAACCCATGGTTCCTAAATTTTTTTTTGATATAGGTATTATACTTTTTGTCCTGGAATCTGTTATGTATCTGAGTTATTAAGAAAAAAATTAAAAATATGAAAGATCAGTGCCTAGAAATGATAATAGAGATGAATAAAGATGAAGTAACATAAGTAACTACCAGAAAAACATAATTGGTCTTTAGGGTATTCATTCAAAAATGACTCAAAATAACAGAAAATGGCCTTAAGGGAAGATAGAGTACCCTGAAGTGATGTTTTTCTTGAGGGAAATTTGTCATTTATTTAAGGCACGGAGTCCTTAATTGTATATGTGAGTGTCCCATTGATGCTTTTGTGGTTATTTTCTGGGCTCTTTGGAGAATATGAAGCCAGCCAGCAGGGGGCAGCATCAGCTCTTGCTTTCACCTTGATACCTGGGCTCTACAGGTAGTTCTCAGGAACCTCACATCCTTTAAACCACAGACTTTAAAAGTAATCACAGCATTAGAGCTTTGTAAAAGTATCATTGTCATCATCACTGTGTTAACATATATACATGTTAATCACCAAGAGTTTACAAAAACACAAATACTGATATTGGGTGATAGGATTATAATGTTTCCCCCCTCCCCATTACATTATTTTTAATAAGAAATAAGAGAAATTTTGACATGGAAATTTAACCATAACTTCTCTATTTTATGTTTTGCTCATACACCATCTATTTGTGCTTCAGTAAGTTCATTAAATCATGAAGAACAACATAAAGGGTAAAAGCCTGGGTTCTGACATTAGAGCTGGGTATGAATCTTGCTGTGCACCTTCCTGGTGCAAATTATCTAGCAACTCTAAGTCTGTTTGCTCCCCAGTGAAATGATGATACTAATGTTCACCCAGCAGGGGTTCTGAGGACTTGAATTGAGCCCTGCTTGTGAGAGGGGTGAACTCTTCTCAGGGCATTCTGACTGATTACTAGTACCTTAGCAGAAGTTCACTGATACACTTTTCATTAATAGTTTTTAAAATTTTTAGCTTTTAAATAATCAAAAAAAGCAATTGCCCATGAATAAGCTTTATGGCTAATCTCAATGGGTCCTTTCAACAACTCTGCAATATGTATATTTCTCTTATTATCATTTTGCTCATTTTTTTTAAAATGAAGGAACTGAGATGCATGTAGGGCATTCATGTGGTAAAGGATAGTGTCTGGGTACACGCCATTTTTATTAAGTCACATCTCTCCTTTTTTTCAATGTGAAACACCTCGCTGTCTAATCCAAAGGAAAAATGGTTGATTGGTATACTTACATTTTACCAGGAAAAAGTTTATACATGTGCTTCTAAACCATTAAACATCCATCAGTCAATCTCTCTTTCTCTTTCACAGGCACATCTTCTTATTTGATTTGGCAGTGATTGTATGTAAAAGAAAAGGTGATAACTATGAAATGAAAGAAATAATAGATCTTCAACAGTACAAGATAGCCAACAATCCTACAACTGATAAAGAAAATAAAAAGGTGATGTCTTGGACATTAGTAACTATAATTTACTTATAACTTTGATGATTATAAGTTCACCCCTTTCACAAGCCACAAGAGCAGGAAAAGTATGCTAATACAGTCATCCCTTGATATTCAAGAATCCCTCCCCTCCGTTATGAATATCAAAATTTGTTCAAGTTCCTCATATAAAATGACACAGGATTTGCATTTAATCTACACATATCTTCCTATGTACTTTACCTCAAAGTACTTATAATACATGCTACATTGTAATTCCTATGTAAATAATCATTGTGCTGTAATGTGTAGGGATAATGAAAAGGAAAAATTTTATATATGTTCAATAGAGATGGAATTTAAAAAAATATTTTCCATATTTGGTTGGTTGGATCTGGGGATGAGGAAACTGCACAGCAGAGGCCTGACTGTGTGTTAGTGTACAATGTGGCTTGTGATCCAGCTGTTTTGTTCCTAGAGATTGATGAGGTACAGGACTCTGTGAGATGTGGTTGGACAGTACTACCACTGCTCTGATTATCTCACATGCCACAAGAGCAAGACAGTAAAACATTTGTATTATGGATAGGAAGTTGACAGTAATGAGAAGTCTAATTGTTCACAGTTTATGTACTGGTTACGTTATGAGGGGGTACTTGAATGGTTATGGTAATGTTTTAGTGAGTTTGGAAATATTGCATCTTTAATAAATAATGCATATTAATCCAGATAACCTTAATTTTTAACAGTGGTCTTATGGCTTCTACCTCATCCACATCCAAGGACAAAATGGGTTAGAATTTTATTGCAAAACAAAAGATTTAAAGAAAAAATGGCTGGAGCAGTTTGAAATGGCTTTGTGAGTATTTCTATATTTGAAAGTTCTGTGTTTTCTACCTGTAAAATCACTTATAAATAATGAACAATTGATATACTATAATGCTTCTGAGAGCATGAGCATTGCTAAGCTGTTGGCTCAGTGACTTCTTCCTGGGAGAGGAGCTTTCGTGAATTTCTTCAAAGAGAAGAAAGAGGGCGCTCTAGCCTACCGTTTGGGTTCCTTCTCATGGGAATATTTTAATTCTTTAGCTTTCAGCATCCCCATACAATTTTAATTATTCTAATGGTAAACTTTTTATGTAATTAATGTTTTTAAATATATATCTTTAAATTAAATAGAAATGTCCCCCCCCACATACACACAAAGATATTCCTATGAGGACAGATCTTATTTCAAATAGGAAGATTGATTTTTTTTCCCTCTGTTTTAAGCTCACTTATTGTTTGAATACTGACTAAATGGCAGATGGATTCAATGAATGCTTTAAGGGCTCAATTTCTTTCAGCATTCTTTTCTTTTATTAAAGCAAAAGCACAACAAAGAGGTGGAAAATAAATCAGACCTGTGTCAAAAGAAATGGCATATAGAGCTGTAATTACCCAAGAACATGTCACTGTAGGTGTTTCTTTTCAGTTTGGTTGTGTACAAATTAAAAGTTGTCTAGTGACCCTTATTCTAGAAACATATTGGTCACCCTGAAGTGAAACTGTTAGTGAAGGGTGGTATTAAGGGGGAACACTTGTGATTCGTTTCATTTGTGTTCTAGCATTATTTACCATCTGTTGACAAATGCTATCAGGTTTTTTTTGTTTCTGGTTTTTAAGAAGGGGTCATGACAGCATAAAAAAGAGGTAGGAGGGGAACTGGGGTTGTGGCTCAGTGGTAGCACACTTGCCTGGCATGCATGAGGCAATGGGTTTGATTCTCAGCACCACATACAAATAAATAAAATAAAGGTCCATCAACAACTTTAAAATATTTTTTAAAAACATAGAGGTAGGAGGGCTTGGGTTGTGGCTCAGCGGTAGAGCACTCACCTAGCATGTGCAAGGCCCTGGGTTCGATCCTCAGCACCATATAAAAAAAATAAATAAAGATATTGTGTCCAACTACAACTAAAAAAAATATTTAAAAAAACATAAAGGTAGGATTATAATGGCTTATTGTAGTTCTGAAGAAAGGAAAATAAAGATTGTCTTTGGATTACTTTGCCTCATAGTTTAAGAGATGAGATTATATAGCTAAAATATTTTAAATGTATAAACAGTTCTGTTCTGCCATAGTCACTGCCGTGATTTGACTATAGGGTATTAGCTAAGTTTTTGAGCCTCTGAGAGCCTCAATCTTCTCATCTACAAAATAGGAGTAATAATATTTATTTGAACTCCAAATAATAGTTCCCAGCAGAGTGCTAGCCAAATAGTACAGTAGCAGTCATATGGTTCTGATATTCATTGGTATTATTGTTATTAATATTTTTTATATTTAGGATCCTGGTACACTTCTGGGTACTTATAAAAATAGAGAGCATCTTTCAATATACTAATATAGTTCTTATATTGTTATTGGTTATAATAGTTAAACAGAAGAGGTTGGCAGTTTTGTGCATCCATGTAGTGCCTAGACTCCAGGGACACATTTGGTTTGGAGCACAAGTGCTGAACTTGATGACCTCTGCCAGTCTGATTAACAGTGCACTATGTCCTATACCTGGCATGCTTTTTCAGGGAGACACCTGGAGTTGAGCAGTTTGGACTGGAGTGATAGGATGCTGGGGTTAGTGGAAATGCTCAGAGGCAAAGCTGATTGCAACCTTTACTCTTGTGGGAAGATGCTAGGCTAGTATTTTCTGATGGGTTCTTTTTGGCTATGTAATCTTTAGTTGAGCGAAAGAATTTCTGCAGAGGAGGAAGCTAAATTCCTCATCCCAGAACAGCCAGATTACTTGTACAGTATGATAGACATATCAGTGACAACTTTTTTCAGTGGCCCTAAATCAAACAGCTAATCCCTTATACAAGAGACTTGGTATTAGAAATGCTGTGTCTGTTTCATGTAAGAGTCTGGGGTAGATAAAGGAGAGTGCCTCTTCTGGGGGGCAGGGAGTGCCATCAGGGACTCAGGCTTATATCTTGTTCTGCCATCAGCATTTGGCTTCTGTCCTCAGGGGTAGTTCCCTTGAAGTCTAAGATAGGTGCTGGAGCTCCAGCTATAAAATCTACATTCGAGGAAGCAGAAGGTAATCTCCCACGTTTAAGGATCCTTTGCAGAAATACCACATATTTCTGTTACATAATACCAACCAGAATTTAGTCATGTAGCCACACCTGACAAGGGAGACTGGGAATTTTGATCTTTATTCCAGATAGGATTGTACCTGTCCAGGGACTGAGGTTCTGGTGCCATGGAAGAAGGGAGGATAGGTCCTTGCAGACAGTTAGGGAACCCTACTTTGCAGGTATATGCATTTCAGAGTGTGAATGGATATAAATGTTTCCCTACAATCAGAACAGCTGCAGTATACCCAAGGAACCTGGGATTCTTAATCTTCTATTGTTTTCCAATGACCTCAACAATGTAATAAAATGTCAGCAAAAATCAGTTTTGCATTTTAGAGTTCCATTGATTGTCCAGGTAACTAGTGACAAGGTCATGTCTGAAAACCCTGATGGTGATTACTTCTATTTTTCTAATATAGCTCTTGCCTATCTTGTGCTCAGGAAAAAAAAAAAAATAGAAAGATCTACGTAATCCTTGAATCTTACAGTTTTTCTTGTGGTTCGGATCTTGCTGTTTTGTTCATTATCTAAAGTTTTAGTACTTTTTATTTTATCAATCATGAAAAATAAAAGAAACCTAAGAAATCCTGAAGCATACAGGAAAAATAGCAAGCCTCTGTATCTCTAGAGGACTTCTTCCCAGTGTCCCCACGTCTTTCTAGTGTAGTCTGAACTGTTGCTTTAAGGAACTCTGAAAAGGAAAGGGAACGAGGTGGGAGGAGGGTGGCTAATCAAAGGAGGGAGTATTTTTAAGACTGATGAAATGTTTGCCAGCTCTGTTTACAGAAGATAGCGATTCTGTTTATAGGATGATTGGATCATTTTTATTTAAAATAATTGCAAATTACCTTGAAGGCACTTAAAAATACTGCTCTTCATTTAGAACATTAAGCAGAAAGCCCATAGAAAAGCATGAATACCAATAAACACTAAGGATTTGGTGGACACAAATCACCTCCCCAGAGGTGACCTAAATCTTAGCCTCTGTCTTTCCCAAGCGCATCCCCACTCTTGCTCAGGAGCGATGTTCTTGACCTTCTTTGGGCACAACCACTTCCAGCATTTAAAATATGCAGTGAACTACAGTAGAATTTGGCAACCTCCTAGGAAAGGCTGAACAAAGAGAAAAGCAGCAGTGACCCACTTGGACAGGGCAGGAGGAAGGATTTCTTTCCTTCTGTGAGAAGTGGTAGCAGGACTGATTGCTCAAGAGGTTGTTGGGACAATTGTGCAGCCAAGGGATGTTCAAGAGCTGCATTTCTGGGGACCCCACACTAAAGAATAATTTAAATCTTTAAGAGATTGATTGGCATGCATTTCTTGTGTTTATTTATTCCAAAAGGCTTTTTTTTTTTGTCACCAACTATCTCTTATAATTCTGTTTAGTCATCTGTGAAATAGGCTGGAAAAAATATTTTGGTTGGGTTAAGCTGGTTTTCATGATGATGTTGGAAAATGAGGACGTGAATACCTATGGCAGTGTTCAGAATTTTGTTAGGAAGTTGTGGATCTGTTTTCCTCAGAACCCTGATATTCATTGTGTTTTTATGAATTCTCCTGTTAGATTTAAATTAATAAACTTTATATCCACTTTACAGCTCAGGAAACTAGTATCCACAGAAGTACTTCAGCAAATTTGTAAGAAGGTCAATTCCATATTGTTTACATTAGAGTTTGGGATCCGAGTTCACGGGATTTGTTTTGTTTTGTTTTTATCCCAGAGGATTCTAAAATAAGCAAGTGGCTCAGATCTTGTTATCGAAAATGAAGTCAGGGTTGTTTTGTTTCGTTTTGGTTTGGTTTGGGTTTTCACTGTGACTAGGACATAGGGATCAGAGATTTTCTCAATGTCTCAGGAATAAGTTCAAATTGGGTAAAATATGAAATAAAGAAGTGGAATAATAGGACGAGAAGGATTTTTAAACAAAGCATTGGAGAGAGAAAACATAAAATCGGAGAGGGAAAATAAGTCATCCTATATGATAGAAAAGTGATGGTTCAAAACTAGCTTCTGTAGCATTTATTGCAGGAAAATTCTTACCTGGAATTTCTTCTGACCAACCTGACCCAGTTCTTGCAATTTAGCAATTACACACTTGCTCCCCTGAATGAAGCCAGCCCCTTTGTGGATGCATATGCCGTCACTACTGCCATTATTGTGGTTTTCTGTCTGTGTCCTCTGTGTAAGGCACAGCACTGTGGGGATCGCATAAGGAGAAGTAGCACCAAGGGCCCCCATGTCTTCTGGAATATTTGCACAGCATATTTATTTGCCAAACACCAAGACTAGTGAGATAGAGAATCCAGAACTGGGAAGTTGCTCTGGGACCAGGTTTTATTGTCATCTTAGATTATCTGAGGGACAGCCCTTGAACTCTCTGTTGCCTAAGAAGAGCTCCTGAAAAGGAGCTGCCAGGGAATGATGGGGCACAGCAAGAATCTAGCCATTAAGCTCCACAAATCACACTTAATCTGAGGCACAGTGTTGCTTTGTAATTTATTCCATCTACTTTCTGAAGGAACTTGAAGTCACTTAAGAATAAAAGAGCACACATGCCACAGAATGAAAAAAGGAAAATTTAAATAATCAGAGATTAAATAAAACAGTGTTTCCAAGCATTTCTTTCAAAACCAGGCTTTACCGGGGAAGGACACTTTTCTTGGAATTTACTTTCTGTAGTTTGTATGATAAAAACAGTAAGCAAGCTTTTTTCCACATGTCAAATATAAAAGTATGTT